CGGACTCTGGAAGACTTAACATTACCTCAGAATTATTACAACTAATTTTGTGTAGCCGCAAGTTACCCTTTTCACAGATCTCAACAGCATTGTGAATGAGATCCTTCATAGCTTCTACACTGTTCCGACTTCAACCCATCATCAACATAGAAGTTGTTTTTCAAGAATTCTGAAGCGTTCTCTCCAAGGTGCTTGTAGTCCTTGGCAAGTTGTTTTAAGCCGAAGTTCGCACATGCTGGCGATGAAACAGCTCCAAACAAATGGACTTTCATCCTAAAGTCAACTGGGGGTTGTGTGAAGTCTTCGTCTTCCCACCACAAAAACCTGAGAAAGTCTTGGTGTTCGGGCTTCACACGAAACTGATGGAACATTTTCTCCACATCACATGTTAAGGCAATTGGGTGTTCACGGAACCTGCAGAGTACTCCAATTAAGGGGTTGATCAAGTCTGGACCTGACAAAAGGTGGTCATTCAAGCTTGAACCCTGGTAACGAGCGCTGCAATCAAAGACAATTCTTACTTTATTTGGTTTTCTGGGATGGTATACCCCATGATGAGGTATATACCATGGTGTTGATGTCAGTGGCTCATCATGTGGGACCATTACTGCATCACCTCTCTTTAGTATCTCTCTCATGAAAGTGGTGTAATGATTTTGATATTCTGGTTTTCTCTGGAATTGTTTCAACAAGCCTATGGCACGATGCATGGCTGCTTGACGATTATTTGGTAACTGTGGAGGTTTTCCATTCCTAAATGGTAGCGGCATCTCATAATACCCATCTTCTCTCTGCCGAATACCATTTGATACGATTTCTATAAACTTCATGTCTTCTTGAGACATAGTCTTATAATCTTCATCTCTGAAGTCTCTTTCTACGATACTCAGCAAATCAGCAATGGTGACTTCTTTGATTGGAGTCTTATATACATACATCATGTTTGATTGCTCGTCAGGCTTGATGGGGGCATGTATGGTTCTGCTAACAACCGTGTGGGTGTGACCAAATGCATCGAATTCCTCTGAAAGTTGTGTCTGAGATCCACCAACAATGCTCCAACCGAGTTTAGTTTCTACACCATATGGTTGGTTGCCACTACCTAAGACGCAATTCTGGGGTGCTAAAGCACTTGGGCAGTTGTATCCAATTAACAAACCAACTGGGCAGTCCTGCTTAGGAGTCAGCAGATCTGCAATCCTACAAAGGTGAGACCATTCACGAGCAGTTTCAGGTGTTGGGATGTGGGACCTGTCCAGTGGGATATGATCTCTGGAATATGTTGTTGGAAGAGGAATCCCTGAAGTAGAGTTAAATCCTCTCACCACAAGATTTTCATATTTATGACTTTCTACAAGGTCTCCCTTTGAAGTCATCGTTGACAAACGTAGCTTTGCTGGGCTAGAGTGTGCTTGTAGGTCCTCCCCGATCTGGTCCAATATAAATGTGACATCTGACATAGTGTCGAGCAGAGCATAGACCAGCATCTCACTGCCTGGGTTTTCCTTGCACGATACCCATACTGGCACTACCATGGAGGAAACTGATTCTTTGTTACCGCTTAACACTTTGTGGCAGGTAGCTTCTTTTTGTTCAATCTCATGGGTTTCAGATGTCTTGTTACCTGATTTAGAGTATTTATCTCTGTCATGTAAACTAGTAGGGTGTTTCTTATGGCAAACCTTGCACTCACACCTGTTGGTGTACTGTCTTGACATGTGGCCTTCTCCAAAACAACCAAAACAGAGGCCTTTCTTCCTTATAAAGTCTCTTCTTTCGTCCATGGTTCTTCGGGAAAAGTTTCGACAATCTTGAACAGTGTGATTTCCCTTATCACAGAATATGCATTCATTTGATTTATCAACTGTTTGAACCGTAGTTGCTAATGACCTTTTCGAAGGTTGCGAACGAGAGTAATTATTCGACTTCCTGTAAGTATGATTACCATCTGGTTCCATTGCATTAAATTGCTTTGGTTCAAAAACTACAACAGGATCATTTAATATTTCTGACTCCTCCATAACAAAGGTAGCGAAGTCTCGAAACAACGGGTAACATCCACGCTCTCTTTTGTTTCTAGCAATAAGACGATTCCACCTATGACCTAACCATTCTGGTAGTTTAGATACTAATCTCCTGTTCTCTCTCATGTCATCAAGTATATGGAGTTCTCGGATTTCAGTAGCAGCCACAACACACTGTTGTAGAAAGTCTGCATATCTTCGTAAACCTGTTTTGTCCCTGGTTTGAATCTTTTGCCACAAATCAAGCTTTGATCTGAAGGCTTCCGCAATGATGAAGGGATTGCCAAATCTCTTTTCAAGAACACATTTTGCTTCCTCAAAGGCATTTTGGCTCCGTAGAAGAAAGAATCCACTCACTGCCTCCCTTGCCTGGCCTCCTAAATAACGTTTCAGATAATGAATTTTCTCACCCTGTGGAATGCCTCTACTTCCGATCAAGGTGGTGAATGACGATATCCAATCTGGGTATTGAAGTGGGTCTCCAGTAAAGACTTGTGGTTCAGGAGTAGGTAGACGGCTCATAGCAATTGTCCGGGCAAATATTTCTGCTGTCAACTCTGAAGATGGTAGGTGAGCTTGAGTGTCTGTGTTCATGTTCTTGGTGTATGGCGTTGGAGGAGCACATTTCTCAGGAGGTACCATTTCCTTATTTACAGTTGGACTTGTGAACAAGTGCTTAAGATCAGGCACTTTCTTTGACAGTTGAGATGTGCTGCGAATTGAATCAGAGTCATCTTCATCGCTATACACTTTCAGTCTTGCTTCTTCTGCCTTCAACTCGGCAGCTAGTTTCCGTTCTTCTAATTCCCGTCTCAAATTAGACATTTTCCTTTCAGTTTGTAAACTCCTTCGTTTTTCTTCCAAACTTCTTTAGTTTTCTTCAAACTCAATTTGTTCTATCATTTCTTGTTTCTTGTTAAGGAGTATTTGGGCTTCCAACTTAGTTTTCAAGGCAGCTGCCTCTGCTGCGGCTTCTCAACGTCGGTATGAACTGCTTGAAGCTTTGGAATATCTGGAGACTAAAGATGATCTTGATCCCTCATGCTTGATAGGCAACCTTGACATGAGGTCTTTGTTGTTGTGAAATACAATAATTTTACATCAAATGTCTATACGTTAACTTTCAATTTCAATAGTCTAGAAAGTATGACAAAGCAGTAATTCCTGGTTTAACGTGCAAATATGCAAATTAGATTTTTTCTCGTCTTCTATTTTTGGTGAATTCTTGGGTTTTAAATTAAAATAGCTGATAGACGCTTTGGCCATTTGCCTCGAAATTTTCACACATTATTGACAAGGTGTTCGTTCCCCCTTCAAAATGCATCCGAACAGTTTATTACGGCGAGTGGAACAAAAATAACAAGTCCGCAATTAACATGGATATATAAATTATGCAAAAATAGAAAAGAGTGAACTTTGAGGTCATGCTGTGTGACTTTGATAGCCGTTAGAGAGATGTGTGGACGCATTTGAATTAGTAGTATACCAAGGTATCCAGTGATGTAATTTTACCCACAAACGGACTTGAAGTTTTTAGGCTAATTTTTTTTAAACCACTTTTGCCCAAAAAAGCATATTTTTGACCCAAAATCAAAAACGCATTCTGGATATTTAAAATAAAGAAAAGTTTTACAAAGTTTGTATAATAAGCTTTCAGAAAATATATAACATGTTGGATATATAATACTATTTTCATTGTCTAAGTACTCAATTAAAA